CCGATGTAGCTGGCGATGTCCGAGCACCGAGGAGTCCTCGGCGTAGCTGGCGATGTCCGAGCACCTTGGAGTCCCCGCGCATAGCTAGCGATGTCCGAGCACCAAGGAGTCCCCGGCCTAGCTAGCGATGTCCGAGCACCGAGGAGTCCCCAGCGTAGCTGGCGATGTCCGAGCACCGAGGAGTTCCTGGCAAACCTGGTGATCTCCGAGCACTGAGGAGTCCCTAGCGTAGCTGGCGATGTCCAAGCACCGAGGAGTCCCTGGCGTAGCTAGTGATGAAGCACGAGCGACGAACAATCTGGTCAACTGGTCGGCGGTGAAGTGAGCTTTGAGTAGAAGTGACCGACGAACTGTCTGATCAACTGGTCGGTGACGAAATCCATGAACCTAGCGGGTTGACCAGTTGATCGGTGGAGAAGTCCGAGCACTAGGTGGTCCGATCACCTGGACGATGATCCTGCAATACAAATATGTAGAACGGGTAGTTCATGATGTAAAAATATATGAACTCCGGAGAAGAAATAGCGTATGTAGCTCGGCGATCAGTTGGTGTGAAGATGTATTTATATTTAATACAAACTGCTCGAACAGTTAGTGTGTAGCTGAGTCTCCAGCCCTAGCTAGCCTGTTAACCATAACGCGGAGCGCGGTGCCCATGTGCATGTAGGAAGAACAAAGCATCGCTAAGGAGCCGCTGCCGACCACCCATAATGCAGAGGGCAGATGATGGGGAGGAGCCGAAGACAGGGCCATCTCTGGGGATATCTGAGCATCAACATGACTGTTCGGGGGTTCACCTTAGACTTAGTTGTATGTCATCTTTAAGATGGTATACATGAAAGAAAATCATTTGGAGAGCAAACATGGAGAAAATAGCTCAGAGAAACATTATGGCGATATACGAAGATTGGAGAATATTTATAAGAATATTAAAGCATGACATAGCTTTAGATAGAACGCCTGGTCGGTGGCGTATGGCGTTATCTGGTCGGCGTTTGACAAAATTGCCCGGCCCTCGAGCTTTCCGAACTGTTGTATGGTGGCAGTCGCGGTTGTCATGGCGCCGTTCTTCATGGCGATCATCATTGCGACGTGACAGGTGGTCGGAGTAAGTAGTCTGGGCGACGTCATCCTTATATTAGTGGTCGGCGACGCGGGCAGCTCGCTTAGTGGCTCGCTTGACAGCTGGAATGAAGTTGATCTTGTGTTGGAGTAGGACGGACGTAGTCAGAGCTTGGCGGTGTCAATCCACATACGAAGACGTGCGCCGTGGTTGTCAAAGGATGTCGACGCGATCAGCCGAATTGCCGTGAATGATGTTGATCTCGAATTACGCCATCTGGTTCGCCAGGGATCAGCACGCACAAGCCCCACGAAGGATGTTGATCTTGAGTTACGCCATCTGGGCTCTAGGTTGGAAGCTAAATACTTCCATATATATATACCCATATATATATACTTCCATATCAAAGCTACCTAAAAGTAAATATGTTTATACATACATATAGAATATGCATATATAGCCGTACCAAAGTTAACGCACAATTAAATACTTCCGTATATATATGAGATATATATACTTAAGTATCAAAACTACCTCTCCCCTTTGACCGCAGGCTCACATCTTGTGGTCATGCCACTCACCATCTTACCTGGGCATAGAGGTATATTGATCCATACATTACCATTCAAACCAATGGCATCCATACAATAGCACGCCGTATGGACGACCAAATAAAAATTGCAAGAAAGTAAACCCCCCATAGTTAGTGTTAGTTTACTTATTGCCACCTAAAGGTCCTTAATTGGGCTTAACCGGAGGTTGTCGCTAGCATAGTTTTGCAAATAAGTTTTGACAAATTTGCTTCTAGCTAAAGTTTTAGTAAAAATAGGCTTTTTAAAACCAAAACTTGGTTTTTAAAACTATGTACATGATAGTATTATTCTTAATCTTGCTCTGATGCCAGCTGTGATAGAACCACCCAATTTATACAAGATCAAGTACGGCTGTCCCCGTTTAACACGTTGACGTGTGCATAATTTCACTTATATAAACCCGGTAGTCCATCGAGTGTCATGAAGGACCTCGGTAAATCAACATCATAACCAAGATCACATGATTAAGCAAATACACATCATATACACAGAGTTGCAGCAGAAATAATATTACAAATAGGTTCACAAATAATAGTACAACTTTGGGTTTCAAAACTGGTTAAGGGAAAACAACATAGCTTTCAAATGATTACATTAATATAACTTCCAAATACATTGCTAGCATAAGTGACATCCTCTAATAAAAGCATATAGATGAGAAATAAATATAGAGTCACCAAGCCCACCGACAGTTAGCCACAATCTTCAACAGGCCAAGAACTTCACCTACAACATAGTGGGATAAACCCTGAGTACTCGAATGTACTCAGCTAGACTTACCCGTCATAAACCAGAAATAAAGTGACTCCAAGGATCATGCAAGGCTTTATAGGTGGAGCTAGCTTGACAAAATTTTGCATAAAAGCCACTAGTTGAGCTATACATTTTATAATTCGGTAACCAAGTTAATTTTAGCTATTCATCTCAAGATTAGCAACTAACCTGTCCCAAACAAGTGGCATATCATTTAGTAACATGCAATAGTAACCATAGCCGGTGTAACATTTCCATATTCATCATAACCATCAAATTTCATCAATTAATGCTACATTGCCGCTGCTTAGTCAAGTTCTCACTATCCGGGAGAGACGGCGACTCGAATCGATTCCAACCAATTGGGGAGTTATTTCTAACACAAACCCAGACATACCTATGCCAAGGTAGTCTTAGGTCACCTTTGGTACAACTCAGGTACAGTCATGGGTCCAATCAGGGACGCACCCTCAGGGATACTACCTGTCTACAAGGAAGTTCAGGCCTGGCCTACCCTTGGACTCACGCCACTGGCTCCCGGCACATCCTTACTGCCTCCAGTGTGCGCACTTTCACTTACCGGGTCCTGGCTTGAGTTGAGCTACTCGACTTCGCGGTCAAAACGACTTATCCGGCCAACTAAGTGCTAGGCATGCGTTCAACATGACATGAGGACATACAGCGAATCGGTCCTTAACCGACACAGATGGCGATAAATAGGCACCAAGACCTCCATGCCTTGTTGCTTCTCTATCACAATCCCGCCCGGCCTCCTTTTATTTATCAACACATGGTTATTTCCACGATAGCAAATATAGCCAACCATGCTTTGGTATCCACCTATATCTTGCAGGTGAAAGGAAATCACCCGACTTCTACCGGTCTAAGCATTGCTAAGCATACATTCGATCCTAGACCTACATAGGGTTCAAGGTATATTTCTGGACAAGGTAGTTCTATGCATCAAGTGGTTCCAATCAACTCTTATAACCTAATGCATCAAACATAAAGGACTCGCTACTAAATTTTGACCCTGTTGCACCGGTCAATTTTTGATGTTATAGGTGCAATAGTTCGGTTTCGCATCAATTTCTCGTTTGATGCCAGCCGATGCAAGTGGTCTTGATGCAATAGCCTTTCGCATCGGTTACTTGTGGTTAATGCGAGAGCAGCTATTGCATCGTCCATCCGTTGTCTCTTGCATCAAAATTGAGAGATGCAATAGCTTATTGCATCCAAATCATGTTGATGCAATACATCTATTGCAACGGCTATCGTTCGATGCAATATATTATATTGCATCCATATTAGGTTCGATGCTATATAATCTATTGCATCACCATTTTGATTCGATGCAAGAGGTTCTATTGCATCATCATTTTGGTTCGATGCAATAGAAACTATTGCATCGACGTTATGTTCAATGCAATTCAAACTATTGCATCGACATGAGGTTAGATGCAATACAAACTATCACATCGACATGAGCTTGGATGCAATACAAACTATTGCATCGACATGAGATTTGAAGGGCAACCAATTATTGCATCAAATTCATTGCACAGAAATTCATAAAATTACAAAATTCAATGGAACAAAAAGGCAATCATATTAATAACTTGGATCATAAGCATTCAATAGTTTGTACAATGTAAGGAAGTCAAATGCCTTCCTATTTCCAAATAGGTAATTGCAAAGTTGAACTGCATTACAAACCACTAACTTATGCTACAAATAGGCAATCATAAACAAAAATACATGTCTCTTAGCACAGATCAACATGACATCTTTCTCGTTGCACAATATTTGATTCATTTCAGCTTGCCAAGACTCCCTCAAGGTTGATCTTCCTGAAAAAGTCAAAATGACATGCATTAGTAATATATATATATAGTTGATCACACAGTTAGAATCAAACATAGACAACACATGATAGACAACAATATTTTTGGGTTTAACAAATAGAATGGATACTGAAGCCGAACTATAAACACATAAGGCATGAACTCCTGATTGCTCATGTTAAGTGAACAAACATACATGTATAAGTGAACAAAGTTCATGTTAATAATCTGGACAACAACTTAAAATGACACATGATTGCTCATACCTTTCCTCCTTTCTTTCTGCATTGTAGCTTTTTATTTGCGGCGAGATTCCTCGGTGTTTGTGATGTAATAAATGTCACCGTCTCATTACTATCTTTATCATTTGGAAAAAGTGATCTGCTTGGCGCCATGAGTGAGGCGACTAGGTTGGACACTCTTCTGCTTTGCTCAACAATACACTTTATGCATGCAGTTTGTAAAAACCGAGAAGATTTGAAGGAGCAATCACCACTTAGCAATTCTAAGAATCTGCTTCAACTGCGGTGATAATTTTAAAGTATATTACATTTGCACATGTTCGATCCTTGGATGGGAGTCGGAACAACAAAGAGAGTTCATTATGTGTGGGCGTATGATTCTCAGACCGACCTTCATTTTTTAAAATATTCACACATTATGTCGATTAAATGTAGGTATCCATTACATCGCGGTTTGCATTTATCAAAAAATAATACATGTGCTAAATCTGCACCTTCATTTCCACTAACCATATTTTCTGCAGGCTGAGGGGCTATTGTGGTTGGTGCAGCATTCTTGCATTGGAGTTATAAGGAGAAACATTAGCAATCAAGCTTTACTAAAATCAATGATGTTGGTAACAATTAAGAAGTAGTATTATTACCAGAGGCGGCGCTTGATTGTGTTGTTTGATTAGTGAAAAAAAACTCTTGCCTTAGTTCTTCTCTTATCTTGCTACTTGTACTCTCCAGTTGATGTTGCAAATTCTTTGAATTTTTTCCTTGTCGCTCTCCTCTCTCAAATGCTTGAACGGTAAGCTTTTCTTTTAACTTCTCTACCTCAGCTTGCATCTCACTATTCTTCTGTTGGGCTGCTGCTGCTAATGCAGATGCACGAGCTTGCTCTTCAATTCGTTCATTCATAAGTTGGCTTCGGGTCGGATACTTTGCCAAGTATCCATGTCCAGGACCTTTCCTGCTCCTGCATCTAGTGGTTTCCTTGTAGGTTTCATGAAGAATGTGCCTTTCTTGTTCTTTTGAAATCACAGAAGCTTCCAACTCAATTCTCTCTGCAATTTTGGAGAAGGCGCTTTCCTAAATTTAAGAACACAATTAGTGTTTTCAACTTTAGCAAGTAGCAACAGCAGTTCCAGTTCAAGTATAATAAGAATTAGGTAAAATGGATATTTTAGAAATCAAACTGTATCAGTTAGATTCATGTACTGATTACTTCCTCAAAAAATCCAAGTCCATGTTAATCATGCAAATATGATTCCTAACAAAGCATGTTGAGAGGTAAAAAGCAATGGACAGTTGAACTCTAGCATTTCAGAGATATGTATGACATTGGAGATAAATGAATAAAACATGTTATGAGAACATACATCACTGGACACTCGTTTACCGAGTAGCCCAGCTCTATTCAAATCACTTTAAAGAACATAATTAACTACATAAAGCATCTAACATAAGCAACTTGCTTTCCAGCAAGTTCTCAGAAATCTGGGCATGCAACAGCTGTACAGAAAATAAATCATATCTGGATCACGGTAGGCATCACATAATCTTCCAAATGACTGCATGAACAGAAACACTTGCAAAGTAGGCATCACACAATAAGGTATCGCTGAATCTTCCAAATAACAGAAACACGGACTAGGCATCTCAGGTATGACACAGTATCATTTGCAAACTAATGTCAGAAATAAATAGTGTAGGCTTAGCAAACATAATTTTGCATACTATTAAATTTGAGTGGCAAAGGTAAGATGCAGCAGCAAGCTGCAGACACAAAAATCAACAAAAAAAATTCAGTGTATGTGGAGTAATCATTTCAGTTAATCTAGCAAGCTGCGGACACAAAAATCTAGTAATTTCAGTTAATTGTTATCACTAGTTTCTAAACTATGCTGGAACTTCATCCAGACTACCAGTCATTGTTTGGTTTTGCACTTCTAATCACATATACAGTTGCTAAAACATACATTGTGTATATGTTGCCAAAATCAGGCTCCAGAAAAAGAACTATGCCTCATGCAGTTCTATAATGGACATGTGAAAGCCAATAATGCTTTGTCGGGAGGGATAGTGCAAAATAAATCTCAGGTGAGATTTAGCAATTCCTTTGTTTGAAATGCAGCCCACATCTCCAGCCACATCTTAGAAAAATTAAATAAATGTCAAGGCTTGGCACAATGTTTTATTTATGTCCAAATCAACTGAGGACTCTGATAAGAATTCTGAACCTATTGCACTCTGTCGGCTCAGTTGCCCTCTACTGCAATTTCATCAGCCTCTGCTGCAATTTCAGAAATGAGATGTCTCCATTCAACAATTCAAGCAACAATAATTGACAGGAACAGAATAATATGCATGCATGAAACAGGTTAAAATTTACTATATTGACTTGATGTAACTGAACGGGCTCTGCATATAACATTCAACATGACTAGTATGTGCAAACATGATAGAATTTCAGTAACATATAGTTCTTTCCAAACAACATATTTCAGCTTGCTGTTTTGTTGTTGTTTCCTTTTATCACCAACAGCAACATCATCCTCTTGAGATGCACCAGCACCGCCTTGAGCTGCACTGCTTGAGATCCACATGTGCCAGGGGTTGACATTGCTCTTGCTCCCTTGTTTTGAAAATGCAGTCACTGTAATATAATGCAAATATAATGATCAGCCTACAGACCTGCAGTACCAATACCAGCACACCCTCTATCATTTGATACGCTACAAATTGCAAAAATAAATATCTATTCCCAGCTATCTAGTACATGCAAACAAGATCAAGTGCTCAGGGTACCCAGCTATCTATTCCCCAACTCTGGAAACTCCCAAACCCAAACTGAGGAACTGAAGGTTACACTTCTCACAGTAAAGTGTGTGCCTTCAACAGAATGCGCTAGCAAATATGGTCTAGGCAAGTCTCTCAACCTTTGGAGTACCTACTGTATCAATGGACAATAATTATATCAACGGACCCGACAAATGAAGCAAAGGTACAAAGAGTGGAAGTATCAGGATATTTAATTAGGGGCATGGAAGTAGGAGTTAGGGGTCTGTTGGGAAAATTTGAGGGAATAGGTTGGGAAATTTGGTACAGATCCTTACCCCTTACATTTCCATGTAAATTATGATAGAAGTAACATAGAAGGCAGACTCAGCTCTTGTAAATTATTTAAAGAAAATACCTAGTTTGCTAAGGAAAGAACAAATGAATAAGATACACCAGTGAAATTTTATCAATAATCATATATGCCTCGATTAAGAGGTGAACTCTTGTAGGCATCAATATGGCCTTAAGTAGACAATTTACCACATCTCATTTGCTTAGTGCTACTATAAATTGCATACTACCACTGACACTGACAATGTTCAGTATTGTTCAGTGCTGTGAAATCTGAATCGGAGCAAACATAATCAGTATTCCCTACATATTTTGTAGTACTAAAAGGCCATATGAAATGAATTGCTACTAAATATTAGAGACCAAATATATACTGTTACAATGTTTTAGGCACAAAGTAATGCTGCTATCCTCTCACAACATTTAATCTCTTTTAGATGCACTTGCACACCGTAACAAGATGATGGAACAATGATAGAATAAAATTATTGAAGTTGACAAGAAGGCGTCACTGCACCAGTGAACGGCTACACATTTCTGGATTAATAACATGCCTCATTGTTGACAGAGATGCACTTATATTCCCGATAAAATAGCAAACTGATACAAACAGAGAGAAAGCAGAATACCCCTCTTACCTCTAGATCCGCAAGGATAAATATTAAACCAGCACCTGATTTATCCGACCTGTTACAAGTGGCAAGGGAAACTAATGCATACAGAAATAGAGAAACAGGAACATGATGGAGGAAGAGAGAGGGGGGCCTTCACCTTGCTGAGGTTTCAGCGCAACATGAGTCCTACACACACCACGGCCATCCCCCACGTCTTCTGCAGTGAGGGGCAGGTGGGATGTTGCTCGTCATGGATCCGTTGCCGCTGGCCGTGGATCCATAGTAGCCGGCTGTGGATCTGCCACCGCCACTTGTGGATGGCCCTCGGTCTCCCGCAGTCACAGTGGCGCAAGCGCCTGTGCGTAGTAGATATGGATGAATCCATAGATAGAGCTGAGTGGATGGAGATGTAAGAGAGTTCGGGGAAAGGGAAAGGAGGGCGCGGACGAGCCGGCCGCAACCGCAAGGCCGGGTCCGGTGACGTGGGATGTGGCGCTCTAGAGAGCAGCCGCCGTCGTGGGGAATTTTGAGGTGGGAGGAGCTAGCCAGCTAGGGTAACTGACGCGGGGCCTCTGGGGGATATGTTATTTGGGCCGGACCGGCGGCAGCTGAACGCGGGAGTGGAAAATTCGGATGGAATTCGGATTTAGCTAGTGGCAAAGTTCTAATCTAAAAACAACTTTATCTTTTCAAATGATATGAGTTAAAATCTAAAATCTCAAAAAGGTTTTTAATTAAAAAAATTGAAGCAATGATCTTGCTTCTGTAGATGGCAGCATAGATGCTCCAAATAAAGGTAATTTCTTTTGCAACACGTATATTTACAAATGCATGTTTGTACTCGTATTGTTGCCAAAAACATATGATGATTATAGGAGTATAAAAAGGAAACTAATGGTTGTGTTGACATAAAAATTAGTTACACACTACAAGTGTAAGATCGCACCGGTCACAAATAGACCGAGGCGACACGACTCTGCAGAAACCGACCTAGTTGATTCAAGGAGAATGCCTAGTCGGTTTTCTTGAGTTGAGCCCGAGAATGCCCTAGGGCAACGAGGATCACATTTATGTGGTGAAGAACAATGAGGTTTATGAGCAAACTACCAAAGGATAACTAATCGTGCTTACTTGACGAAGAAAAACTAATTTCCGGACAAACTAGCAAAGAAACATCAAAACTCTCGCCCAAACAGACCCCATCGGGGCTAGGATGTCCCCAGGTTGCCCTAAGTCGGCCGACAAGTCTAGGGCAGCATCCTTGGTCGTCGGATCAAGCGATGAACAATAGCATGGAGGTTGGAAGAGATTAAGGCAAAGAGAAGTAAAATAGATTAGTTTTTGTGTTGATTGTGTGTGTTGGCCACCTCAACTTCACCCAATTTTGGTTGTCAACAGATTGCAAGAGGTGACATGTTCAATTCTTGTTTGGGCAATTTTTAAAGAATATAATGATTACAAAATCAAGTGCTCTAACTGTCAACCTGTCGATGGCGATGTGGAAGGAGCGGGGATTTCGGAAGCAAAGGAGAAGGTTGGGAGTGTGGATCGATGGTTGGAGGGAATGTGGGCGATGATTTGGAAAGGACGTGCATCCAAGATTTGAGCCCTTGGAGGTAGTGGACGAATACGATGAGTGCATGAAGAGGACTAGGGTTTCCACGTTGGAGGATATAAAATGTTTTTTTACTAATTTTTTCTGTAAGAAAATAAATTTATCCACTAGTCACATTAAAACCTACTGGTAGTGAGATAGAAGCCCACGGACATGATTTGTTTCTTGAGTATGGAAGATCCCGGCCATGGGATACATGATGTGATTGTTGGGTTGCCTATGTGCGTAGCTGGCCAGGTTAGGCAAATTCAAAATGACGCGACGAGCCCAGGTTCCAGATAAAACGAAATCCATTCTAGTGAGACAAGCTCCATCGGTGACATGCTACCACCCACCGGCACTTCGTGCGTGTATCTGAGACTCAAACAGCTTGGTTCACGCCCGTGGATGGAACTAGGCTGGCAAAGGGGAGCCTGCGCTGGCTGTTATGAGCTTGGTGCGTCTTCTCGGCCAACCAATCATGCCCTACGAACATGTGTATGGAGATGTCAATTGGGAGATAGCTCCCTATTCCTGTTCCATAGTTTTCGATTCAGACTAGGCAAACCGCCGGCTTAGCCATTTTTGTTTTAAGCTAGGAAACATGGCAAAAACCGGCCTTGCCGACTTTTGCAGGATGATTCTTTTTGAAGTCACAATTTCTTTGTACAAACTTCAGATTGGACGATCTATGTATGTTTTTTAATTGCCTTGACGAGTGGAACACAATGATGGAGCTTATTTTGCATTTTGAGTAAGTCGTCAATTTTGGTTTAGCCTAATCTAAAACCCCGACTTAGTTTGTTTTTCTAGAATATTTAGGATTAGGATTATCCCCCTTTGGCCAATTTTGAGTATTAATACTTTCAGTTTGCTTAACTCTTACAAACATTTTGAAAAACTCTTACAAACATATTAAAAACTCTTACAAATATTTTTAAAATAAATAATAAACTTTAAAATTTAATTAAAATAGCTTACTATCTAAATTACTTATAATACTTTGCCCACACGAACCACTTCTTAAAAAAAGATGTTGGGCGCTTGACCACTCTTGCGCCCGCCTCGCGCAATGGCGCCACGCTGCGCGTGCAAAATCCCCTTGCAGGCGTGCAAAATCCTGCCCCAGCGCGCCTTAACCTTGCCTCAATCTCCCCTCAACTCATTAGTCTTGCCGGACTTCCGCATTCTTGGATTCTCCAAATTTCCCCAGAGCTCCCTCGCACTGTACCTTCCCTGACCCTACCTGTGCAGCGGCACCGGCGCGATGGGAACCTTCGCGGCTGCAGCACGACGGCCGATGGTGGCCTCCCTGCTGCAGCATCTCCGTCGTCGGTGGTGGGCTGGCGGCTCCCGTTCCCGTGCTCATATCCCTAGTCGCCATGAGGAAGAACCTTGCTCCTGGGATTGAAGTGCCGCATGACAGGTACATACATCTAGATCTAGATATCCCCTATCTATACGTGTAATTTTCCTTCCTCCCAGACCCGAGTGGCAAATTGTTGAATCTGCTGCAATTCCTTGCACAAAGCATCCAAGATCCGATCGGCGTTTGTCATGTGGATGCACAAAAGCAATTTCTTTCTAGCGCTTGATTTGATTTCAGTCAAAGATAGTTATTGCATTTCATTGCTGTCGTAGTCTTCACCGGTGCCGGCGCCGGACCTGCCGCTGCGGCCGTACTCCGCATTTCTATAGAACGGATGCACAGCAATCATCCGATTCCGATGGAGCATTGCGGCAGATCCATGGATTAGGGAGATGGCTTGCTGCTGGACCCGCCCCTGCCGGCCGTTCCTGACATGGCCTAGCCTGCAAATCAGTATCAGCACCATACTGTAACTGTAACAACTGCAAATCAGAGGTTCAGGGATCCACCACCTGCCTGCCGATTAGTAACAAAAGCATGCATGCATGCAGCCCTGCTTTGATCTGAACCTATCTGAACTAATATAATGCATAGTAGTAGTGAAATTTTGGAGAGTGGACCTGAAGAATATCTGACAGTAGTATACATGGCAGGCAGCAATATGTGACTGACAGTGGTAAAACTACTGAAAATGATGTTTATATATATGAAAATACCTATTATATTTTAGCTCTGTCAGGATTCAAGATAATGAGAGCCATGATACTAATGTGTGTGACGGAAGTGAAACAATGTCTTGTTTGTGTGTGTGGATTCTTTAAATGACAGTCTTATCTGATCGATTTTTTATGAGGTTGAACAGTCTGCTTGGCCTATTAAATATTTAGGTTTCTTAATGTTGAAATTCTTTACTATGTTTCCTAATGCCACCGTTGAAAAAATTAGCACTTTTTTGAAATGAGAAATGTAAATGACCACTATGATAAATTTGGTTTGGTTTTCTTTGTTGCTACTAGATAGTGGCAGATTAATGTAGCCCATATATAACTGTTGTTTGAATCATGATTTTTTTTGCAACGGTGATGTATCTTTCACAGAGAAGCAGAAGAGCCCGGAGGAAGAGGAGAAACAACAGTGACAGGAGGAGCCGCCGCTGGACTTTTCTTTTACAGTACTAGCTACATACACAGTTTTATACGTAATTCTTGTACTATTAGTAACGTACTTCTATAATTAGGATTATACATACTATTTTAAAGTCTTGTCACAGTTATTGATGAATTGATTTAATATGTGTACGGTACTATGGTGCAATAATTTCTATTTTGCTACAAAGGGCCTGTTCGCTGGTTGGTTTCTGGGCTGGTTTGGGCTGGCTGGTGCTGGTTTATTGTGAGAGGAAAACACTGTTGGCTGGCTGGTTTGGGCTGGCTGAAACCAACAAGCGAACAGGCTGAAACTTTTTTCAACAATGATTTATTAATCAAATAACAAAGGTTATATGTGCTGTTTTAGCCACAAATCTTTCTGTGCGGTAAACCTGAATGCAACTTTGTTGTGATAGGCTATTGCAACTATGCAATTATGTTGCGATTTAACTATTTGCCACGAACATTG